TATATATGTGTGTGTATGTATGTGTGTGTGTGTGTGTCTATATATATATATATATATATTTATATATTTATATTAAGGAAATCTCTTATTTGCAATGTTTTTAGTATGATATACTTTAATCAATATAAAGATTATAATTGAGATTTGATAACAATAAGAAAGTTAAATTAACTATTTTATGAAACTGTTCAGGCCCAGAACTTCCCTAACAGATCTTCAAGACCTTCTATAACTTCATGCAATCCTTGCAGCACATATGGCTCTAGTAATCTTGAAGAAGTGTCATGTTCACCTCAAGACAGAAGCTTTGCTCAACCCTCACAGTCCTTGAACTCGATAATGTTGGACCCCTGTTTGATTTCTAATGAGCCCCAGCTGGTCCCTCTTACTTCTGCTCATAGTAACGTGTTGATGAATTGTACACAAACTATCCAAACATTGTCTCAAGTCAACCAAGGAGTAAGTGATAAATCATCACTAGCAGTACATCAGCAGCAGCAACAAACCTCACAGCATTCACCAGAAAATCAAGTGCCTTTTCATCCTCTAGTTTCTACCTGTATGACCTCCTTGACGTCTTCTGTGAGGCAATCTGCTCGTCCACCAGGTGTCAATCTCCAGCTCCCTCCTGTTATTTCTGTTGTACAAACCCATCCTTGTAAACAGTCTGCCATGACTCTCAGTAAAGCAGCAAGGAAGGCATCAGTGCAGAAGGAAACGAAGGTGCTGAATGGGATGAGAACACTAAAACAAGACTGTGGAGTTTCTAAAAGGCAGTCTTTCATGGAGACTCATAACTGGGATAAAACTATGCAGCCACCTACTGGACAGTCTTTGAAACAGGCAACAGCTCATCCAGTGAACCAGTTTGCTGTTCCCAGGCTATCTGTAAGTACGACATATTTTTATATACCTGCCATTTCTATTCTTCTAAGAATGAATAGTAATCAAGATTATTGGGGTAAGCTTTATAATCTGTTGCTGAATGAAAACATTAATATTACCATAAATTGCCATCAATAGTATCTCTAAAAACTTAACATGAAAGTGAAAACAAATACAAGCAACATGAAAATAAAAATAATTTAAGAATTAATCTGAATGAATGAGAGTGTTTGCTGAATTATATGTATTGTGCTGTTTAGATCGAACGGATGGAGAGGTTTCGAAACTTATCTTTTCTTCAGACTGGAAGTCCTCAGCTTTCTACACAGAATGCTACTTCACTTAATAACAGTCACATTCAGCCACCTCCCAACTTAGATACTAATATACCTTGCAAAAAATCTGTGGATACTCCAACCAACAATGCATCAACTGTACCACTTAGCACTGTACTAGCACAACTTCTAACATCAAGTAAGCTGTAAATATTTTACTGTTGTAAACTTTGTGGTTTCTTACAGTGTACCTTATAATAGAGTAATTATGCCTTAAGTTGTGGTTATAGTAGTTGTGTTGCAGTATGATGTTGGGTGATGACCTAGACTTTTGCATGATTTTACAGATACTGGGTTATTGAACCTCAAACTATAGACTTGTTTTTATGTCATTCACTACAAGTGGGGGTCTGTATAGTGAAATATATTGAGTAATTTTTTTTTAAATTTGATACAACACTCAGTGTAAAGAAATGACTAAAAAAATCACTTAAAATTCATAGGATACATCAACAGTAATTAGTGGGGTTAATGGAAATATTGATGGGTTTTTTGTTTACTTGTTTGTGACTCATATGCTACTAGGGACCCTTGTAGCCAACAAAGTTATAGAACCACAAGCAAGTTGATGCATAAATAGTGTATAAACATGTTTAAAGATTTGATGCAGTCTATCCAGACCCCATCAGTAATTCTAGGGTTAAGTAACAGATTTATTCGATGGGAATTAAAGTTTAATGATGAACAACAGAAGGATGTCAGCAACAACGAACATTTGACATGTTTATGTACAGTAACAAACATTTAATTCTTAAATTTTTTGAATATACATATTTCATCTTCAGCAAGCTATATTGAACAGAATAAATTATTAGGTGCAAAACATTTATAAATTTAAACACTTTATAAAAAGTAATTAAAATACAGAATAAAAGGATGAAGTAACTTACTTCCAAAACATTCAAGAATTAAACGTTTGTAACTGTACACACAAGTTTCAAATGTTCATAATCTAGAAAATCACTTAAACTGGCCTGTTTATTGTATTTATTGGGAAATGTTTCTATAGATAACTTTCTAAGTGCTTGTATTTTCATCCAGATACAATGACAAGAAATTCCACAACAGTATTTACAACTGTTCCACCAACATTGTCCCAACAAAGTCTAACCACCTCACCAGTTACTATAATTGGCACTTGTTCAGTAGGGGAAACTACCAGCCCACAGACTTTTGTTTTGTCTCCACTAACTTTAGCAACAGTAAGTATTGTACAGTATGCAGTAAAAAGCGTTATTTCTTAATCTTGTTTGCTTTACTAAATGTGTAAACTAGGGTGACAGAAAAACAATTATTCAAAGATTTTTATTTCTAAATATGAGAGTACACAGCTGAAAGAGATTTTATGACAGAGAAATAAGGATAGACTTCTCAAATTTAATACACATATAAAAAAAGCCTGGATTAATCTGAGTCCAGCTTCACCCTGTTTTATGACCCAAGTTTATTTATTGTTATTAAATGTGTGCTTTGTCTTTGGCCTTCTTGAAACCTTGTGTATAAAACATGTTTTAAAATTATGAGGCGTTCAAGAAGTTATGTGGCACTAAGTGACTCCACATTTGGGGAAGTGCACTGATTTTTCTCTAAGATTCCAGTAATGGTAGTGGCTTAATTTGCAAATCCCTTACATTGGAGAATAGTTATGGAATGTTTACACATTGTAACTGGATTTCAGACAGAAGTAACTGATTTGCAAACAAAATGTTGTCACTTTCATTTCAATCAAAGGAGCTACAGGGGAGAATTGAACAAGAACAGCTATCTAACAGCATGCTGTATAGTTCAGCACTCAACTGTTTGAAATTATTAATAACAATTTGCAAGTAAAGAATAGTGTATGATAATATGTCAACTATACCTACTGTATCCAATGCCGTCGAGACCTTTTGCCGAATATCAGGGTTCTATAGGCTGGTTGGGACACAATAAAGACAGTAGTGGCTAAGTTGCTATTTATATTAGCAAAATGCTTGACAAATTCTGTTAATGATGTGTAATTTTTTATCAAGTTTGTCTCATCAAAATAAGGGTAAGGATATTTTAACACAATATGTTTAATTTAAACACCATACGTTATTAATTATTGTTTTCAGATCATTATTCAGAAGAACTATATTTGTCCACATTTTCATCCATGTCTGACATACGCTGTTTTAGGCTTTATAGATGCTCTTACTTTGTATTATAGTTTAATATAGTTCAGTGCTGTGTGCATTTGACTTACTTCACCTCTCACACTTACAGAGAACACTTTCATGATTTAGTTTTTGCTATTTATCAACTTGAACTTGTGAAATCATGTATCATTAATACCTCCACTTGAAGTTATGTCCTGTTTTAACACAAGCATGATACTATCTGCAATGGATCAGTTGTGGCATGTGGTATCAAATGTCTGTTGATATGGATCTCTATAATTCAACATCATTTGGTTATTCAGTTATTGATATTGCCTGAATCACTTGAGCTTCCACTGTAACTTGAGCCTAACCTTGCCCATCCTGTACCACATGAGAAGCATGTACACGTGTAGTTGATCAGTATCAAGATTATGCTGATAAGAGCTATTCACATGATACAATTTTGTAGATTAATTCAAATGCTAGGCAGGGGTTACACAAAGGTAAAGTTATGATATGTATTACATAATGCACAAGTAACACATACTGATGTTTTAACTGCTGTTCTGTCATATAGGCCACGAAAATGAATTATGATGAAGTATGTACCTCCATCTATTACCAAACAAACTGAAATATATATTATCAGATGTATTAATAAATATTTAATTATTTCTCGGGTTTGATTCCCCTTGGTGGACTCAGCTGATAGCTCGATGTGGCTTTGCTATAATAAACACACGCACTTACATTCAAATCTTATTAACGCTTTTTGAGACCTTATTAATGTCCATGTTTTATGCATACTTGAAGTGGTTATGAAATTTATTTGTTATAATTGTTTGTAGAACTATACACAAAATATATTTCCTAAAGTAACCATGGTATAAGATGCTCACTGAATTATACATCCTTCATTTACATTTTGTCATTCTTATAATCTATGATAAGCAGTGTTTTTCTTTAAGGTTTTGAACACTAAAAGCTGGCAAAACATTATATACCAGCAGTCCTAATACTTATGAAAAAAAATCACATTAGATTTTAGTATATTGGTTCACAATACTATGCCATCTTTCAAGACCCTTTCAAATTTTTTTTCTGTTTGTATGATTAGGATTTCAGATTAACTTTTATCTGTCATTATCTAGCTCAGCTAACGAGTTCTGAAATTGAACAAAAATCCTCCTGGGGAGTGACTAGTGGGAGAAAACACTCAGACAAAAGTAATGTATTTACATACACATGGTTTGAAAGCCTTACAGGACAAATTAAGAAAAATATTATAAAATAGTCATCAGTAGGCTGTGATGATTTTTGTCACAAAGTTTTATTTAGACTAAGTTGTTGCGTTATTCAATTTGAACATAGGTTGCAGGTGTGGGAGACGTACAACAGAGAATATTGGTTGGAACTACCACTCAAGTATTAAATAGTCAAACACACCAGCAGAAAGTTCCCATCCTTACTCTTCCTTCAAACACCTTGAGCAAAAGTAAGTTTTACACTGATTACTAGTTTGTCCTGTATTCTCTAAATATAATACAATATAACTTAATACATTTCATGATAAATACTACAGTTCAGTTTATGTAATGCTGTTTTTGGGTTGTACACTACTGTTCAGCTTGTTTAATCCGATGACTACCGGCTACTAACTTTCTTAGTAGGCAATGCAAGTCTTGCTATATTTCATTCCAACAATAAAACTAGTGGACGAATATTTTCGAAAATTTATAAATACTTTGACAAATGTTGGTAGTTTAAGAAACATAAAGCCTATTTCTTTTAATAAATTTAGTTTTTTTGCATTATGATC